TAGGGGTGGTATACAGAAGACAGCCCTATTTGGTAAAAGACCAAGTCCATATTATGGCAAGAACAGCTCAAATAAGCAAAGAGAAATGACAGTCCATCATTACTTTAAGACATGAAGGTCAGTCAATCCGGAAAATGTCAAGAACTTTGAAAGTTTCTTCAAGTGCAGTCGCAAAAACCATCAAGCGCTATGATGAAACTGGCTCTCATGAGGACCGCCACAGGAAAGGAAGACCCAGAGTTACCTCTGCTGCAGAGGATAAGTTCATTAGAGTTAACGGCACAGAGTTCAAGTAACAGACACATCTCAACATCAACTGTTGAGAGGAGACTGCATGAATCAGGCCTTCGTGGTCGAATTGCTGCAAAGAAACCACTACTAAAGAACACCAATAAGAAGAAGAGACTTGCTTTGGCCAAGAAACACGAGCAATGGACATTAGACTGGTGGAAATCTGTCCTTTGGTCTGATGAGTCCAAATTTGAGATTTTTGGTTCCAACCGCCGTGTCTTTGTGAGACGCAGAGTAGGTGAACGGATGATCTTCGCATGTGTGGTTCCCACCGTGAAGCATGGAGGAGGAGGTGTGATGGTGTGGGGGTGCTTTGCTGGTGACACTGTCAGGGATTTATTTAGAATTCAAGGCACACTTAACCAGCATGGCTACCACAGCATTCTGCAGCGATACGCAATCCCATCTGGTTTGCGCTTAGTGGGACTATTATTTGTTTTTCAACAGGACAATGACCCAACACACCTCCAGGCTGTGTAAGGGCTATTTGACCAAGATGGAGAGTGATGGAGTGCTGCATCAGATGACCTGGCCTCCACAATCCCCCGACCTCAACCCAATTGAGATGGTTTGGGATGAGTTGGACCGCAGAGTGAAGGTAAAGCAGCCAACAAGTGCTCAGCATATGTGGGAACACCTTCAAGACTGTTGGAAAAGCATTCCAGGTGAAGCTGGTTGAGAGAATGCCAAGAGTGAGCAAAGCTGTCATCAAGGAAAAAGGGTGGCTATTTGTAGAATCTCAAATATAAAAATAATTTTGATTTTTTTTAAACACTTTTTTGGTTACTACCTGATTCCATATGTGTTATTTCATAGTTTTGATGTCTTCAATATTATTCTACAATGTAGAAAATAGTAAAAATTAAGAAAAACCCTTGGAATGAGTAGGTGTGTCCAAACTTTTGACTGGTACTCTATATGTACAAGTTGTTTGTATACAACCTGGGAAGACTCCATCTTGAGCTACATAATAATAATAATAATAATAATAACGTGATTTAATTGTTGCACTTTCATGACGTGCATTTGCAAGTACACAGTGTGTGGAAGTCCATTTCAACATTCTTCCATAGAAGAGAGAAACAACAACGTTTTAAAGATGATATATTAAAGATTTTTATTTCTATTAAATGAAACGTTAATGGCGTAGAAAAACGCCCCATTTCAGAAGGTCACAGCGACATCATCAACATAAAGGTTCAACCAGCGAGATCTTTGGCATTATGTTTCACATTACTAAATACTAAAAGGAAATAATATACAAAATATATTAACTTCTTCTCTCAGTTCAAAATAACAACCCTTTTATGGGAAAAAAAAAAGTCCAATTAATAGTGAAAAGGGTATTCATCAAAAAGCAAATGGATCTGACACAGAGGCATTGACCAGCAAATGCACTGTGAGAGAAAAAAACAGTAAGAAGAAAATAAAAGTAGCTTTTGAAGAAAGTGAAAGACTAGAGTTTGGATACAATACTGACTCCCTCCCACCGTCCAGTCAACAACAAATCATACAGACTCCTGCTCTGTCTGACACACAGAGAGAACTAACTGGTATCAACATGTTTCACCATCCCAACAGATGCAGGACATGTATCACGTTTTAAAATAGATGACACTTACAAACAATAAACAACTTCAGAGCCTCAAAATGTGTGAGATCTCGAAGCAATGAGGTGAAAATAGAGATACAGAAAATATAGAGAGAGAGAGGGGAGAGAAGAGAGAGAGTGGAGAGAGAGAGAGAGAGAGAGGAAGAGAGAGAGAGAGAGAGAGAGAGAGAGAGAGAGAGAGGGAGAGAGAGAGAGAGGAGAGAGAGGAGAGCAGAGGGAGAGAGAGAGAGAGAGAGGAGAGCTGAGAGAGAGGAGTGGAGGAATCTCTAACGTTAGCGCATAGAGCGAGCGATCTCTCTAGCTCTCTCTATCTCTCTCTCTCTCTCTCTCTCTCTTCTCTCTCTCCGCTCTCTCTCTCTCACTGTTTCCCGACATGTTGCTGTATATAACTAGTCAATCGATTTAGAATATGCGCAGATGCTCCTGTAAAACCAGCTGCCCTTGAGCCTTGCAGCATATAGACTGAAAAAGAGAATAGATCCTCAGAATGCAGGCCATGTTAACAGGGTGAGGGGTCAGACTAGATAGACTCCTCAGAATGCAGGCCATGTTAACAGGGTGAGGGGTCAGACTAGATAGACTCCTCAGAATGCAGAATGCAGGCATGTTAACAGGGTGAGGGTCAGACTAGATAGACTCCTCAGAATGCAGGCCATGTTAACAGGTGAGGGGTCAGACTAGATAGACTCCTCAGAATGCAGGCCATGTTAAACAGGGGTGAGGGGTCAGACTAGATAGACTCCTCAGAATGCAGGCCATGTTAACAGGGTGAGGGGTCAGACTAGATAGACTCCTCAGAATGCAGAATGCAGGCCATGTTAACAGGGTGAGGGGTCAGACTAGATAGACTCCTCAGAATGCAGGCCATGTTAACAGGGTGAGGGGTCAGACTAGATAGACTCCTCAGAATGCAGGCCATGTTAACAGGGTGAGTGGTCAGACTGTTCTCGGAGCAAGTAGGAGAGAGGGAGAGAGGTAGCATTCCATGAGGAAGGAATGCCAGACAATTATACACGGTTAGTCAGCAGGGGGTGGTGGGGAGAGAGGCATTATGGGTAGTGGCTGTCTGGGGGCCCAAAATTATAACCCGGTCTCTGTCTCAAATGGCACCCTATTCCCTATGTAGTGCACTACTTTTGGTCAAAAGTATTATATAGGGAATATGGTTCTATTTGGGACGCAGCCTGGCATCTCAAACATCAGGCCTCCGTGCTGTGAACGGCAGCCTCTCCTCTTCCCATCCTCTGCTAAGCAGACAGACAGACAGACAGACAGACAGACAGACAGACAGACAGACAGACAGACAGACAGACATGCCATCCTCCAGTCTAAAGAAGGCCCATTCCTGTGTTAAAGCTGTGGGGATGCGAGAGCACCAACTGCATAGTTTAATTTAGGCTTGGATATGCAATAGTTGGGTTTGTAAGCATTTATGGTACTCAGGCACAATGTGGAATGGACCACTAATCCAAGGGCATAGGGGTGTAAATGGGGAGGAGGAGAGCTTACTACTACAACTGACTTCACTAAGCACACGTATTAGTGTTACAACGTAACAGGAAGGACATGTGTAATCATAGAACAAGCTCAGGTAGCCGTGGGAGAGTTATGTCGTTTATCCAGGAATGTTGGATTACTTGACATGGCATGCTGAGCTCAAAGTAGCTAACATACTGTCTGTCCATGAGGGAAACAGATATGCAGTATGAATAGAAGTATATAGACCAGTAGAGGTGGAGACAGACAGACAAACTGACAGACTGACAGACTGACAGACTGACAGACCGACTAACTGACAGACTGATAGACCGACAGACTGACAGCTTTCTTAAAGGCCAAACAACACAACTCTTCACACAAACACATCACACTATGAGCAGCACTTTAATAAGAATATAAATACATGAAATAAAACATAACACCAATGACATACAGGCTGTGCAGCGATGCAGAATCCTGTCCGTGTACCTTGGAGGCTTTAGATGGAGACTGCCCTCGTTTCACCTGGCAGGTCCACTAGAGAACACGGACAACTAAGTTCTTTACTTTTCTAGGTGGAAAGAGAGAAACGGTCTCCACTCTGCTCTGTCTGCAAACACTTCGCTTCACTTCTGGATTATTTTCTCCGGTAGGTAGGTACTTAGGTAGGTAGGTAGGTAGGTAGGTAGGTAGGTAGGTAGGTAGGTAGGTAGGTAGGTAGGTAGGTAGGTAGGTAGGTAGGTAGGTAGGTAGGTAGGTAGGTGGGTAGGTAGGTAGGTAGGTGGGTAGGTAGGTAGGTAGGTAGGTAGGTAGGTAGGTAGGTAGGTAGGTAGGTAGGTAGGTAGGTAGGTAGGTAGGTAGTAGGTAGGTAGGTAGGTAGGTAGGTAGGTAGGTAGGTAGGTAGGTAGGTAGGGAGGTAGGTAGGTAGGTAGGTAGGTAGGTAGGTAGGTAGGTAGGTAGGTAGGTAGGTAGGTAGGTAGGTAGGTAGCTAGGTAGGCAGGGAGCACATGTCCATGTCTCCAAACCTTCTCCACACTGTCTCCAAACTGTCTGTCTTTCTCCAAAGGAAGTGTCCATCTGGAGGTCAGTCTGACCAGAGCCAGACAGACAGGCAGGTTGTCTTCTCCTCGTTGGGAGGGACATACAGGACATGAGGGTCTCTCTGTCATTTCCCGTGTTGTCACCATCCATCCACAGCGGATCCCACAGTTCAGCGTTCAATGTTTCTTAAATTAGGATTTCCACCACTTCTGCTACTGCGTCTGAACTGCTGGTGCTCTTGTGTGTGTTGAGTGGTGCCTGGAAGTGCTCTGAGGTGTAATGGAAAAAATAAACCATGTTTTAGAGACTGGATAAAAAACGGCAGGATTTTAGCTCCACAATGAGTTATGTAGTACAACATAGACAGAGATTCAGTGGGCCAGAAGACAGACAAGACAATCAAGCTCTCATGTTTGACAAGACAATCAAGCTCTCATGTTTGACAAGACATTCAAGCTGTAATGCTACTTGGGAGGCTACCAGCCTTGACTAAACCTTGACTCTACCCAACACACACAGACACACAGCCAAGGTTTCACAGACACATAGCTGTAGTTGGTATGAATGAATGAGTCCACTACTTCCCCTCTCTGAGCCTGGAAGGGTACCATTTGGGACTCAGACTGTCTGCTGTGACCCTGGGTTCTGGTTCCACTTGAACCAGCATGACCCTGGGTTCTGGTTCCACTTGAACCAGCATGACCCTGGGTTCTGGTTCCACTTTAACCAGCATGACCCTGGGTTCTGGTTCCACTTTAACTAGCATGACCCTGGGTTCTGGTTCCACTTTAACCAGCATGACCCTGGGTTCTGGTTCCACTTGAACCAGCATGACCCTGGGTTCTGGTTCCACTTGAACCAGCATGACCCTGTGTTCTGGTTCCACTTTAACCAGCATGACCCTGGGTTCTGGTTCCACTTTAACCAGCATGACCCTGTGTTCTGGTTCCACTTTAACTAGCATGACCCTGGGTTCTGGTTCCACTTTAACCTATATGACCCTGGGTTCTGGTTCCACTTTAACCAGCATGACCCTGGGTTCTGGTTCCACTTTAACTAGCATGACCCTGGGTTCTGGTTCCACTTTAACCAGCATGACCCTGGGTTCTGGTTCCACTTTAACCGGCATGACCCTGGGTTCTGGTTCCACTTTAACCGGCACAGATCAAAAGGACTTGTATTATTACATCATCATACGAAGCCCTGTGTTCCACTCTAACTCCACTGTACATGTCATTTTCTCTGTATTGTATGAGACTGAAATAGGTACCAGTACTCATTTTGGGTCCCGGTACTGTTTCTCTTTAGGTGCCAGTGCTCATTTTGGGTGCCAGTGCTCATTTTGGGTCCCGGTACTGTTTCTATTTGTTAATACATACACAACAGCCATTCCAGAATAGGCTACACACCAGAGGCAAGCGTTGAGGTCGAGGAAGCCTCAGGGGGTGCTGGCATGCCGGTAAGATCAGTCTCCTGGGCCGGAACGTCACGGTCACACTGGGTGCTGCTGTCCCTGCTCCGGGCTTGGACAGGAACAGCAGGGCGGGCAGGGCCAGGGGGGCACAGGGGTGTTGGTGGGGGGACAGGGAGAGAGGACACACTGCAGTAGCCGTCTGGTCATCAGAGAGGCTCTTCCCTACAAGCACAGACAACAAGAGGAAAATGGTTAATTACTGGATCACAGACAACAACAGGAAGCTGGTTAATTACCGGATCACAGACAACAAGAGGAAAGCTGGTTAATTACTGGATCACAGACAACAACAGGAAGCTGGTTAATTACTGGATCACAGACAACAACAGGAAAATGGTTAATTACCGGATCACAGACAACAACAGGAAAATGGTTAATTACTGGATCACAGACAACAACAGGAAAATGGTTAATTACTGGATCACAGACAACAACAGGAAAATTGTTAATTACGAGATCACAGACAACAAGAGGAAGCTGGTTAATTACCAGATCACAGACAACAAGAGGAAGCTGGTTAATTACCAGATCACAGACAACAACAGGAAGCTGGTTAATTACCAGATCACAGACAACAACAGGAAGCTGGTTAATTACCAGATCACAGACAACAAGAGGAAGCTGGTTAATTACCAGATCACAGACAACAAGAGGAAGCTGGTTAATTACCAGATCACAGACAACAACAGGAAGCTGGTTAATTACCAGATCACAGACAACAAGAGGAAGCTGGTTAATTACCAGATCACAGACAACAACAGGAAGCTGGTTAATTACCAGATCACAGACAACAACAGGAAGCTGGTTAATTACCAGATCACAGACATCAAGAGGAAGCTGGTTAATTACCAGATCACAGACAACAACAGGAAGCTGGTTAATTACCAGATCACAGACAACAACAGGAAGCTGGTTAATTACCAGATCACAGACAACAACAGGAAGCTGGTTAATTACCAGATCACAGACAACAAGAGGGAGCTGGTTAATCACGTAAGCACACACGCTCAAACATCTGCTCTGTGAGCTTCCCTGCCACGTCTATTCTAGAGCGGCTATCCCGGAGCGGGGAGACGACATACAGTACATTCATTCTGTTACTAAAAGACGTCGTCATCTATTTGAGGAAAGTCCCTCACCGTGTCCTCTCCCCAACAGTAGTTATTTTAGGAAGTGCAACATTCTGACTGGCGACACTATGCACTAGACGCTTAACAGCCGCCAGTTGTCTCTTGAGTTAATAGCATGGGTTGTTCTAGATCTGACATTCCTCCAGGCGTTATGACCTGTGACCCCAGAAGACTAAAAAGAAGGAGAAGACAGTGATGTCATAATTCTCCAGATTCTTCAGGAAGTAGATACACTGAGTGTACAAAACATTAAGAACACCTGCTCTTTCCATGACATAGACTGACCAGGTGAAAGCTTGATCCCTTATTGATGTTACTTGTTAAATCCACTTCAATAAGTGTAGATGAAGGATGTCAAACTCATTCCACGGAGGGCCGAGTGTCTGCTGGTTTTTCGGTTTTTCTATTTAATTAAGACCTAGACAACCAGATGAGGGGAGTTCCTTACTAATTAGTGACCTTAATTCATCAATTAAGTACAAGGATGGAGTGAAAACCTGCAGACACTCGGCCCTCTGTGGAATGAGTTTGACACGTGGTGTAGATGAAGGGGAGGAGACAGGTTAAAGAAGGATTTTTAAGCCTTGAGACAATTGAGACATGAATTGTGTGTGTGTGCCAATCAGAGGGTGAATGGGCAAGACAAAAGTTTTAAGGGCCTTTGAACAGGGTATGGTAGTAGGTGCCAGGCGCAGCGGTTTGAGTCAAGAACTGCAACACTACTGGGTTTTTCACGCTTAAATGATCCACCACCCAAAAGATATCCAGCCATCTTGACACAACTGTGGGAAGCATATGATTGAAAGTTTACAACGCAGGTGCACAGGTCGAGAGAATTTTGAGTAATCAAAGATGACAGACAGTGACACATTTAATATCGCCTTGCACACTCTTGCCTTGCATCTAGCTTATCTAGGGTGTAACCATTAGTCCAACAGTTGCAAATGAGAGTTTCTATTGGACGAATTCAGATATGTTTATCCCCATTTCGTTCCGTTTGCTTGCGTTTTAAAAAACATTTTTCAACAGAATCGTCGGAATGAATACACCCCTGATCACGCGTAAACACAGTTCACTTTCATAGCAGCCACATACAAACAGTTCGTTATACACTGCTCAAAAAAATAAAGGGAACACTTAAACAACACAATGTAACTCCAAGTCAATCACACTTCTGTGAAATCAAACTGTCCACTTAGGAAGCAACACTGATTGACAATACATTTCACATGCTGTTGTGCAAATGGATTTAGACAACAGGTGGAAATTATAGGCAATTAGCAAGACACCCCCAATAAAGGACTGGTTTTGCATGTGGTGACCACAGACCACTTCTCAGTTCCTATGCTTCCTGGCTGATGTTTTGGTCACTTTTGAATGCTGGCAGTGCTTTCACTCTAGTGGTAGCATGAGACGGAGTCTACAACCCACACAAGTGGCTCAGCTAGCTAACATAGCAGCCCTCTCTGTTTGAGCCGGGTGTTTGAGTCAGCTGAACTAGCTAGCTGCATTTGACATCAGCTGAGAAAGTGAAAGTGCTAGATCCGTTCTCTGATCCTTTAATTGGGTGGACAACATGTCAGTTCATGCTACAAGAGCTCTGATAGGTTGGAGGACGTCCTCCCGGAAGTTGTCATAATTACTGTGTAAGTCTATGGAAGGGTGTGAGAACCATGAGTCTCCTAGGTTTTGTATTGAAGTCAATGTACCCAGGGGAGGACGGAAGCTAGCTGTCCTCCGGCTACACCATGGTGCTACCCTAGAGAGTACTGCTGAGGCTACCGTAGTGTGTTTTAATAAATTATTGGGTGACGTGAATATATTTAGTATAGTTTTATCTAAAAAGGATAACTTTTTTAATGTTTCACTATTTTATTTTTATGAAATTCACTGAGGAGGATGGTCCTCTCCTTCCTACTCTGAGGAGCCTCCACTGTCATATTCCCTACATAGTGGACTACTTTTGACCTTTTTGACCCTATGGGCCCTTATCAAAAGTAGTCCACTATAAGGTACCATTTGGGACCCAGGGCCCTAGAGCTCACCTTTCCCCCGGATGGGTTGCTCCACTGGGCCACTGGTGGAGGTTGAGCCGTTGGCCTCGGTGCTGACGGAGGGGACGGACCTGGCAGGGCGGAGGGCCTGCTGCTCTAGCCTGATCTGCTCCCGTTGGGACCGCTGCTGTAACACCCTGATCACTGCATCCTTCTCCAGGAGCTGGGAGTGCAGCACTCGGACCCTACACACACAAAGATTGCATATTTAGTTACTCAGATAACTATGTTGATCTATCTACCAATGTGTGAGTTTTTTTATTTATTTTTTGTCATTTAGCAGACGCTCTTATCCAGAGCGACTTACAGGAGCAATTAGGGTTAAGTGCCTTGCTCAAGGGCACATCGACAGATTCTTCACCTAGGTCAGACCAACTGGTGTTACTGTACAACGTCCAGTGAGCAGAAAGTTAACAGCAAAGATATGTACCTATTCTCCATCTCCTGATGTCTGCGGCTGGATGGCAGGTGGTCGTTGAAGCTGCTGTTGGGTGAGTGGCGAGGGGAGCGTTTGATGACGCTGGTGTCTCTCTGAGCCGCAGCAGTAGCGGCTGCGTCCATGGCGAACTGCCTCATGGTGCTCTCCTCCAGGTACTTCTGTTCCCAGCGTGTGACGTCGGCCTCCAGAGCCAGGATCCTCTCCTCTCCTTCAGCCAGCTGCAGCTGTACGGACACCGTGGAGCCGGGGCCGCTGGCCGCGCTGTGGGACTGATACCACGGAATGAAATGTAATGAAGGATTTTTCAAACAAACATGGAGCTGTTTTGTTTTGTAAGACTGTTGTTTTTTGTTGTTGTTTTTTATATATATATATTTTATTTTTTTAAGGGGTAGATCAGCTTGAATATTTCAGATAGATTGTAACTTCCATCAATGTAATTGTCTGCATACTTCCAATCCCCCATATGTTGTTTTTTTCTCGCAAATATATACAGTGGGGAGAACAAGTATTTGATACACTGCCGATTTTGCAGGTTTTCCTACTTACAAAGCATGTAGAGGTCTGTAATTTTTATCATAGGTACACTTCAACTAAAACAAAAATCCAGAAAATCACATTGTATGATTTTTAAGTAATTAATATGCATTTTATTGCATGACATAAGTATTTGATCACCTACCAACCAGTAAGAATTCCGGCTCTCACAGACCTGTTAGTTTTTCTTTAAGAAGCCCTCCTGTTCTCCACTCATTACCTGTATTAACTGCACCTGTTTGAACTCGTTACCTGTATAAAAGACACCTGTCCACACACTCAATCAAACAGACTCCAACCTCTCCACAATGGCCAAGACCAGAGAGCTGTGTAAGGACATCAGGGATTAAATTGTAGACCTGCACAAGGCTGGGATGGGCTACAGGACAATAGGCAAGCAGCTTGGTGAGAAGGCAACAACTGTTGGCGCAATTATTAGAAAATGGAAGAAGTTCAAGATGACGGTCAATCACCCTCGGTCTGGGGCTCCATGCAAGATCTCACCTCGTGGGGCATCAATGATCATGAGGAAGGTGAGGGATCAGTCCAGAACTACACGGTAGGATCTTGTCAATGATCTCAAGGCAGCTGGGACCATAGTCACCAAGAAAACCATTAGTAACACACTACGCCGTCATGGATTAAAATCCTGCAGCGCACGCAAGGTCCCCCTGCTCAAGCCAGCACATATACAGGGCCGTCTGAAGATTGCCAATGAACATCTGAATGATTCAGAGGAGAACTGGGTGAAAGTGTTGTGGTCAGATGAGACCAAAATCGAGCTCTTTGGCATCAACTCAACTCGCCGTGTTTGGAGGAGGAGGAATGCTGCCTATGACCCCAAGAACACCATCCCAACCGTCAAACATGGAGGTGGAAACATTATGCTTTGGGGGTGTTTTTCTGCTAAGGGGACAGGACAACTTCCCTGCATCAAAGGGACGATGGACGGGGCCATGTACCGTCAAATCTTGGGTGAGAACCTCCTTCCCTCAGCCAGGGCATTGAAAATGGGTCGTGGATGGGTATTCCAGCATGACAATGACCCAAAACACACGGCCAAGGCAACAAAGGAGTGGCTCAAGAAGAAGCACATTAAGGTCCTGGAGTGGCCTAGCCAGTCTCCAGACCTTAATCCCATAGAAAATCTGTGGAGGGAGCTGAAGGTTTGAGTTGCCAAACGTCAGCCTCGAAACCTTAATGACTTGGAGAAGATCTGCAAAGAGGAGTGGGACAACATCCCTCCTGAGATGTGTGCAAACCTGGTGGCCAACTACAAGAAATGTCTGACCTCTGATTGCCAACAAGGGTTTTGCCACCAATTACTAAGTCATGTTTTGCAGAGGGGTCAAATACTTATTTCCCTCATTAAAATGCAAATCAATTCATAACATTTTTTACATGCGTTTCTCTGGATTTTTTTGTTGCTATTCTGTCTCTCACTGTTCAAATAAACCTACCAATCAAATTATAGACTGATCATGTCTTTGTCAGTGGGCAAACGTACAAAATCAGCAGGGGATCAAATACTTTTTTCCCTCACTGTACATCCATACACACACACATATGTAAGACTGTGTTTACTGTACAGACAGACTTGGGGGTTGTCAAATATTACGTGTTAAGGTGGATCATAAGGTTTTCATTTTATATATTCTGGTCCTGGAGGGCCGAAACACTTCAGGACCGGAGTTGAACAGCCCTGATATAGGATTAATCATAGTTTGTGTATGTCTCCTCTCCTCTCCTCTCCTCTCCTCTCCTCTCCTCTGCTCACCTGTGCTGCTCGGAGGCTCTTCAGCTCCTGCTCCAGCCTGGTCCTCAGCCTCAGTTCCAGGGCCTCTCTCTTCTCACAGACGGCCTGTAGCTGTCCCAGGGCACTCTGCAGCCGCTCTACCTTCTCTACGTACGCCCTCTTCCTCCCCAGCTCCTCCTCCAGGGCCAGGTTACGGGCCTGTGCCGACCTCAGGGCCAGCTCCAGAACCTCCCGGCACCGGAGCCACTCCTCCCCGGAACCACGGAGACGCTGCACCTCCCACTGCTGCTGTTCATCTAGGAGAGAGACAGAAAAGAGGAGAGGAAATGTTCAGGTGAAATGTTCAGGTGAAATATTCAGGTGAGATGTTCAGGTGAAATGTTCAGGTGAAATATTCAGGTGAAATGTTCAGGTGAGATGTTCAGGTGAAATGTTCAGGTGAGATGTTCAGGTGAAACGTTCAGGTGAAATGTGCAGGTGAGATGTTCAGGTGAGATGTTCAGGTGAAATGTTCAGGTGAAATATTCAGGTGAAATGTTCAGGTGAGATGTTCAGGTGAAATGTTCAGGGGAAATATTCAGGTGAAATGTTCAGGTGAAATGTTCAGGTGAAATGTTCAGGTGAAATGTTCAGGTGAAATGTTCAGGTGAGATGTTCAGGTGAAATGTTCAGGTGAAATGTTCAGGTGAAATGTTCGGGTGAGATGTTCGGGTGAAATGTTCAGGTGAAATGTTCAGGTGAAACGTTCAGGTGAAATGTTCAGGTGAAACGTTCAGGTGAGATGTTCAGGTGAAATGTTCAGGTGAAATGTTCAGGTGAAATGTTCAGGTGAAATGTTCAGGTGAAATGTTCAGGTGAAATGTTCAGGTGAGATGTTCAGGTGAAATGTTCAGGTGAGATGTTCAGGTGAGAGGGGCTGCTACAGACATTATGAAGCTTACTGTACTGTTTCCCAGAACAGTTGAACCAGTCACGTGTTTGTTTGTAAATAACACAACGGGAGAAAGCGGGAGCAGGTGAGTCCAGCTGAGTTTTGACAGGGGTCGCGTTTTATATTGAAAGTCAAGTGTTTTTTTGCTTCAACAGAGTGATCAGGGACGTGCAACTATAGTTTTCCTTCACAGAAAATACATTAGTGCAACACATTCGGCATAAAACAGCTTCATTTTCATCAGATGACAACCAAAGTGGCTGGCAGCCACACAAGTAAATGAGGTTACAATGAAGAACCAAGGCCTTTTTTGCTAAAACGATGCATGGCCAACATATTTCTAATGTTTAGGCCTAACATAGAAAGAATGTAGCCAGCTAAATTTCGTAATGTTTTTCTTAAAGTTAATCTAGCATTTTACCAGAGAAAGTAGACTGTATACACTGAGAAAAGTACCGGAGAAAAGTAGCTAGACATCAGTCAGAGCTGATGTCAGCTGATAGAACGACCGTTGGTGAATTCTCATCCGGATTTAGTGCAACTGAAGCACAAAATGAGTCTGATGCTGAGCAGAAATGTCAATAAGAAGCATTTTAGATCTGTGTTTACAAAAACGCAGCAAGATATTTCTTATGCGTTTTGTCTTTTTTTCCTCAGTGAAAAACGCAGAATTCTGCCTTTAACACGATCCCTAAGTTTAACTTGCTATCTAAGTAAGTGGCTGAATTAATGAGATGAGGCATCATATTGTGTTGGCTTTCTGCCGTGTTTGAGAAGTCAAAGCCCTTTGGATCAGTTATCTGTACCAGCTGCTATCTCTTGATTTCCTTGCTATTTTCTCCTCTCTGTTCTCGGTCCGTCTGCTCCTCCGCCCTCTTCTCCGAGCAGAGCAGGCAGGCCCGTTGCCCTAGCGACTCCAAGCAGAGCAGGCAGGCCCGTTGCCCTAGCGACTCCGAGCAGAGCAGGCAGGCCCGTTGCCCTAGCGACTCCAAGCAGAGCAGGCAGGTCCGTTGCCCTAGCGACTCCAAGCAGAGCAGGCAGGCCCGTTGCCCTAGCGATTCCAAGCAGAGCAGGCAGACCCGTTACCCTAGCGACTCCAAGCAGAGCAGGCAGGCCCGTTGCCCTAGCGACTCCAAGCAGAGCAGGCAGGCCCGTTGCCCTAGCGACTCCAAGCAGAGCAGGCAGGCCCGTTGCCCTAGCGACTCCAGACAGACACAGCGTGTAACCATGCTGCTTCAGAGACAGTACTGTTAAAACTTTGCTTCAAACTTTGTTCATTTGTACAATGTCTCTCGATCACATGCATTTGTAAATGTCAAAACTCACCAAAAATGCCATTCGGTAGCTCCTACCAGCTCCTACCAGCTCCTACCAGCTCCTACCAGCTCCTACCAGCTCCTACCTGTATATGTATAACTTTATGAGCTGGATTGCCAGTTTTTGCAATTTTTGTTTATACTTGTTTGCGCTCTTTTTTATTACTTTTTTTAGGGGGTAGATCAGCTTTAATATTGCAGATATATACACATACATACATATAAATACATATACATACATATATACATATATATATATATATATATATATATATATATATATATATATATATATATCCTTTAAAAAAATATATTTCCCTTTATTAATTTCCAACCCCACCACCCCTTCCCTAATTGGAGTAAACTAGTGAACAACAACGCTTAGGCCTCTACTTCCAGCTTATACATACTATATACATTATATGGACACAGTCAATTTTACAATAATTATATTTTGTTTGTTTTTGCTCCTGAACTTCCTCTACCCTCAACCTCTCCGATCATTTTCATGATGTCCATCCGGTTTGCTTCTATATGACATATCTTTCTAACTGTGCTCTTTCACAAAAGCTCTCAACCTATAACCTATATACTTATTATGGACACAGTATGCTTTACATTAGTTATCTTGTTGTTATTAGTTGGTGTTAGTTGTTATTAGTCCCATCCTTCAACTCCATTCAACACCTCCCATCTATCTCTTAACATCATCCATATTGGATTTCTATTTGCCATATATTTTTCAACTGTACTGTGATGTTTCAAAAAAGTTCTGAACCCTTCTATTCTCATTGTTTCTACAGATTGTAAATTGAAAATAAACATTTTTGCTAAAAGTATTATTATATTATTGATCGATTGACTATGACTTTTCAGATCACCCAGTAGTGCTATCTGCAGGGTTAGCTCCAGGTAAATATTGCAGTCCTTTAGCCATTCCTGGACCTGTGTCCAAAAACAAGCTACAAATGGACAGTACCAAAACAAATTATCTAATGATTCTGTCTCTTCCCCCATATAAATAACATTCTATTGGTAGCAAGAATTTTATATAATAATTTAAATTGAAAATATTCTAAGTTTTGAATCTGGCGTCGTTTTGCGAATCAGTTCATAAACATGCCATGGAATCGGTACGTCAAAAATCTCTCTCCAACTATTTTGCAATCTATATGGGACGGCTGTCAATCCTTTGGTCCTTAAATGAAACTGGTCGACTTTTTTATTTATCACAGTTTTCTTTAACCAATTATATTCTTTAATGCGGCCGACAGACATGTTCCTTACCTTTCCCCCCTTCCACTTTCCTCTTCCATTTTTGCGGTAATGCTGCAATTATTTGGTTGTAATTTTGGGTAGAGCAGACATTTCCATATGTTTTTGTTAGCTGCATGTGCGACATAACTCCACCAGTCCTACCGATGACATCATTTACGAAGATTAAACTTTTTTTTTTTTTTTTTTTTTTTTATTAATCTTTTTTTTTATCAATTAGTATATTTGAGTTTAACCACAATATTTGTTGCATTATTTGTTCTGTAGTTTCTGGAGGATTAAATTGAAATTGCAACCAACTTTCTATGGCTTATTTTAGAAATAGTAATATTTGGGAGATTATTTCCTTTTCAAATAACTGAGTTGTAATCTGAATAAAGGGAAAAAGGCCATTCTTGAACATTGGGTGAGACAATTTTACTAATTTGCTAGAGAACCAGTTCGGATTTAAGTATAACTTTTGTATGACTGAAGCTTTTAGCGATAGGTCTAATGCTTTAATATTTAATCATTTCTGTCCTCCGATTTTCATATTCATTATATAAATAGGCCCGTTTAATTCTGTCTGGCTTGCCGTTCCATTTAAAATGGAAAATTATTTTCTCATATAATTTAAAAAACTGTTCGCTAGGCGTAGGCAAGACCATAAGCAAATAGGTAAACTGGGATAATACTAAAGAGTTAATCAGGGTGATTTTCCCACTTGTTAGCATATTTAGCTAGCAGCCTCCATGGAAATTCGCTATTACTTGTGCTAATTTTGTTAGTATTCTGGTAATAGAGCCCAATGGGCTTGTTTGCGTTTTCGGCGCCCCCATGTGGACTAAGCCGGTAGTACCGTAAATCCCGGGGTGAGAGAAGGACGGTATGACATTTTGAAAATCTGGATACCGCCCAACCCTAATCCCATCTGCCCCCTAACCTCCTTTAAAACAGTTATCCAAGAGCAACATGTTCACGTTGTTTCCTTTGGACTAAAAGGGAAAGCAGACTTCCTCTTAACCATTTCCTACAGACAGTGTTCACTGGAGCACAAATGGCACCCTATTCCCTATATGGTGCACTACTTTTGACCAGGGTTTAGGCTCCATGTTACTGTACAGAGCAGTGTAAAGGTTCCATGTTACTGTACAGTGCAGTGTAAAGGTTCCATGTTACTGTACAGTGCAGTGTAAAGGTTCCATGTTACTGTACAGTGCAGTGTAAAGGTTTAGGCTCCATGTTACTGTACAGTGCAGTGTAAAGGTTCCATGTTACTGTACAGAGCAGTGTAAAGGTTCCATGTTACTGTACAGTGCAGTGTAAAGGTTTAGGCTCCATGTTACTGTACAGAGCAGTGTAAAGGTTCCATGTTACTGTACAGTGCAGTGTAAAGGTTCCATGTTACTGTACAGTGCAGTGTAAAGGTTTAGGTTCCATGTTACTGTACAGAGCAGTGTAAAGGTTCCATGTTACTGTACAGTGCAGTGTAAAGGTTCCATGTTACTGTACAGTGCAGTGTAAAGGTTCCATGTTACTGTACAGTGCAGTGTAAAGGTTCCATGTTACTGTACAGTGCAGTGTAAAGGTTCCATGTTACTGTACAGTGCAGTGTAAAGGTTCCATGTTACTGTACAGTGCAGTGTAAAGGTTCCATGTTACTGTACAGTGCAGTGTAAAGGTTCCATGTTACTGTACAGTGCAGTGTAAAGGTTTAGGCTAGACTACATGATCATGCCCCACTATAGTGTTTCATATGCAGCTCTGTCTTTCAGTACTGTTTGGAATCTTCTATGAGCCAAAAGCATGTAAACCCCCTTTTCGACCCACCAACTGACATTTTGACACCGTCAAAATAGGTACATGTAATGTTCATACGAACATTCCTCAGAGTGTAATCATTGCTCCTGGAGGCCAACAGACATGGTAGTGTGACTGTTAAACCGGAACGTTGTTATTTTGTGACATAACCGCTGATGAAGGCCTACTTTAAGCTGATTTAAACTTCATTTCCCAATACAATACCAAGTTCACTAAATAACAGTTGTGAAGCTTTACCACAACAATGAGTGCCAGGGCAGTGGCAGTTCCCGTTGCCAAAGGCCAGCCAATAACAATGTGATAGTAAACCTGACGTCACATACTGAGGTGAAGAAATGCCCAAAGATGGAGACATATCTATCAAGGGGTCAGTGCGCTGTGAGTGGGGAATGGAAGCCCTGCATTAGTTCCCCTTGAGGAAGGGAGGGAGCTCGGCAGCTCAACAGCTATGGAGCCCTGCGCAGCAGAGCAGGGGGAGGGAGGCATTCCCAGTGAACGGAACAGTCTGAAATACCTCAATAAATTCCAGGAATCCAGGCCACATTTACTTGTGGAGGGCTGTGAATAATGACTGGCGTTCAAGCGCCAAGGAGAGGGAGACAGGAGCAGAGAGCAGGGAATGTCCCCCCTTAGCCGGCCTCCCCTCTGACCACTGACCTCTGACCACGGACCACGGACTACATTAATATGGCAGCGATATCAGTCAGAGTCTAGGAGAACTATGTACCTGCCACAGAATCCCAGGGTGAAGTGTTTCACAATGCTGTGTGATTTGTAAAAAAAAAAAAACAGCCCTTGCAAACAGATCTGAAAACGCTCTCTCTTGCCCAGCGCCCTGCCCTCTCTCCACAGAACGTCTTACTCAAGCGATTATGAAGAGTAAGCAACAACAAGAAAGCCAGTGTTTCCTCTTTCGTCTCTCTCTCTCAACATGTTGGGGAGGTATCTGATCTCTACTTACTTTGTTTGAGGAGTTTGTTGAAGACTTGCTGTTTCTGGTCTGCTGATTCAACCTCTTTGGCTACCAACTGTTTGGTAGCTGTGTCCAGACGATCTACAGGTCAAAGAGAGAGGGAGGGAAATCAATTATGATCTATTATTACCTCTTTAGGGGAGAGCCACACTTAAACCCCAAAGACTCCTGCTCCAGGTTGGTAGCTTTCCTGCAGTCAAGTGACCAAAGCGCCCTCTAGTGGTCTCATGGATGGAACGTTATTAATATTTTTCATTCTTTTATAATTAATAAACATTCTTTCAAAAAACCTGCAGAAAATCCGGTGTTTCTATGTCAAACGGTTTTGGTTATATTTCAGTCTTCTGTGATGTATATAAAGTGTAATATTGGGATGCAAACTCATAATGTAATACATTTCAACTCTATATCTGACATGGGACAGGTGTCTCCTTTCTTTAAGCCCATAAGTGTGAGGTGTATAATTCTGTTTCAAAGTAGATTTGTTTAAGACTGTCAAGAAACACTCTGCGTGACCCTGATTTAACCCACTGCAGTACAATTAATCAAAACAGGTAGCTAGTGAAGTCTTTAGCTTTGCTTTATTTAACCTTTATTCATGCAGGTAAGGTCCATCAAAAACAGATTCTTATTTGCAATGACTAGCTGTGTTAGCATTAGCATCTAGCTGCTGGTAGCCTTTACCTCTGAGGTCTCTGTTGAAGTCGTGTAGTCTCTTGATCTCTGACTCCAGTTTGTTCCTCATGGTTTTCTCCAGGGTCTCTCTCTTGGCTGAGCCGTTCATCAGGGTCTCGTAGGCCTCAGATATCCTCTGGATTTCCACTTCCAGCTGGGAGGAAACACACAAGAGGATACTGTCAGTCTGAGGGTCTCTACCTTAAAACACAGCTCATCCCACACCAATCGTCACATTTTGAGGGGCTTTTTTTGGGCCAGGCCTCAGAGGTGGAAACACAAAAGCCTGAAAACACTGGTGAAAAGTCTGATAGTGAAAAGGCGACAATAAAACACTGGTGAAAAGTCTGATAGTGAAAAGGCGACAATAAAACACTAGTGAAAAGTCCAACAGTGGAAAAGCGACAATAAACAAAACTATCTGAGGGCGGATTTAAGACCCCCAAGGCTTAATCAAGGAATCCATGGTCTCACAAGACTGTGATGCTGAATGAATGAGACATGTGGAGGAGGAGCAGGAAGAGGAGTAGGAGGTGGAGGAGGAGAAGTGGAGGAGCAGGGGAAGGAGGAATAGTGGGAGGAGGAGGGGGATGGGAGGGAGAGGAGGAGGAGCAGGCAGTGGAGGAGCAGGAGCAGGTGGAAGAGGGGGAGGAGGAACAGGATGTGGAGGAGCAGAGTAAGTGAAGTGGAGGGGGAGGAGGAGCAGGAGGAGGAGGAGGAGGAGGAGGAGGAGGAAGAGGAGGAGGAGCAGGGGTAGGTGAAGTGGAGGGGGAGGAGGAGGAGGAGGAGCAGGAGGAGAAGGTGGGAGGAGGTGGAGGGGGAGGAGGAGGGGGAGGAGCAGGAGCAGGTGGAGGAGGAGGAGGGGGAGGAGCAGGGGTAGGTGAAGTGGAGGGGGAGGAGGAGGAGGAGGAGCAGGAGGAGCAGGTGGGAGGAGGAGGACGAGGCGGAGGAGGGGGAGGAGGAGGAGGAGGAGGAGGAGGAGGAGGAGGAGGAGGAGGAAGAGCAGGAGGAGGAGGGAGGAGGAGGAAGAGGAAGAGCAAGAGGAGGAGGAGGAGGAAGGACTCTGTCTGTCACTAACATCACCTGTTGACATGTCTCTGTCTGTCACTAACATCACCTGTCTACATGTCTCTGTCTGTCACTAACATCACCTGTCTACATGTCTCTGTCTGTCCACTAACATCAACCTGTCTACATGTCTCTGTCTGTCACTAACATCACCTGTCTACATGTCTCTGTCTGTCACTAACATCACCTGTCTACATGTCTCTGTCTGTCACTAACATCACCTGTTGACATGTCTCTGTCTGTCACTAACATCACCTGTCTACATGTCTCTGTCTGTCACTAACATCACCTGTCTACATGTCTCTGTCTGTCACTAACATCACCTGTCTACATGTCTCTGTCTGTCACTAACATCACCTGTCTACATGTCTCTGTCTGTCACTAACATCACCTGTCTACATGTCTCTGTCTGTCACTAACATCACCTGTCTACATGTCTCTGTCTGTCACTAACATCACCTGTCTACATGTCTCTGTCTGTCACTAACATCACCTGTTGACATGTCTCTGTCTGTCACTAACATCACCTGTCTACATGTCTCTGTCTGTCACTAACATCACCTGTCTACATGTCTCTGTCTGTCACTAACATCACCTGTTGACATGTCTCTGTCTGTCACTAACATCACCTGTCTACATGTCTCTGTCTGTCACTAACATCACCTGTTGACATGTCTCTGTCTGTCACTAACATCACCTGTCTGTCTGTCACTACATCACCTGTTGACATGTCTCTGTCTGTCACTAACATCACCTGTTGACATGTCTCTGTCTGTCACTAACATCACCTGTCTACATGTCTCTGTCTGTCACTAACATCACCTGTTGACATGTCTCTGTCTGTCACTAACATCACCTGTCTACATGTCTCTGTCTGTCACTAACATCACCTGTCTACATGTCTCTGTCTGTCACTAACATCACCTGTCTACATGTCTCTGTCTGTCACTAACATCACCTGTCTACATGTCTCTGTCTGTCACTAACATCACCTGTCTACATGTCTCTGTCTGTCACTAACATCACCTGTCTACATGTCTCTGTCTGTCACTAACATCACCTGTCTACATGTCTCTGTCTGTCACTAACATCACCTGTCTACATGTCTCTGTCTGTCACTAACATCACCTGTTACATGTCTCTGTCTGTCACTAACATCACCGTGCATGCTCTGTCTGTCACTAACATCACCTGTTGACATGTCTCTGTCTGTCACTAACATCACCTGTCTACATGTCTCTGTCTGTCACTAACATCACCTGTCTACATGTCTCTGTCTGTCACTAACATCACCTGTCTACATGTCTCTGTCTGTCACTAACATCACCTGTTGACATGTCTCTGTCTGTCACTAACATCACCTGTTGACATGTCTCTGTCTGTCACTAACATCACCTGTTGACATGTCTCTGTCTGTCACTAACATCACCTGTCTACATGTCTCTGTCTGTCACTAACATCACCTGTTGACATGTCTCTGTCTGTCACTAACATCACCTGTTACATGTCTCTGTCTGTCACTAACATCACCTGTTGACATGTCTCTGTCTGTCACTAACATCACCTGTCTGACATGTCTCTGTCTGTCACTAACATCACCTGTCTACATGTCTCTGTCTGTCACTAACATCACCTGTTGACATGTCTCTGTCTGTCACTAACATCACCTGTTGACATGTCTCTGTCTGTCACTAACATCACCTGTTGACATGTCTCTGTCTGTCACTAACATCACCTGTCTACATGTCTCTGTCTGTCACTAACATCACCTGTCTACATGTCTCTGTCTGTCACTAACATCACCTGTTGACATGTCTCTGTCTGTCACTAACATCACCTGTTGACATGTCTCTGTCTGTCACTAACATCACCTGTTACATGTCTCTGTCTGTCACTAACATCACCTGTCTACATGTCTCTGTCTGTCACTAACATCACCTGTTGACATGTCTCTGTCTGTCACTAACATCACCTGTTGACATGTCTCTGTCTGTCACTAACATCACCTGTCTACATGTCTCTGTCTGTCACTAACATCACCTGTTGACATGTCTCTGTCTGTCACTAACATCACCTGTCTACATGTCTCTGTCTGTCACTAACATCACCTGTCTACATGTCTCTGTCTGTCACTAACATCACCTGTCTACATGTCTCTGTCTGTCACTAACATCACCTGTCTACATGTCTCTGTCTGTCACTAACATCACCTGTCTACATGTCTCTGTCTGTCACTAACATCACCTGTCTACATGTCTCTGTCTGTCACTAACATCACCTGTCTACATGTCTCTGTCTGTCACTAACATCACCTGTTGACATGTCTCTGTCTGTCACTAACATCACCTGTCTACATGTCTCTGTCTGTCACTAACATCACCTGTTGACATGTCTCTGTCTGTCACTAACATCACCTGTCTACATGTCTCTGTCTGTCACTAACATCACCTGTCTACATGTCTCTGTCTGTCACTAGAAATCAATGATTCCAAAATGAACAGAAAGGTCCCTGTGATCCGTCCACGGTGCACATTCCTGCTACAGCACAGCTAGAGGACTAATCTCACTGATATGCAGCATTGGCAAACACACACACACACACACACACACACACACACACACACACACACACACACACACTTTATAGTTCGCTACCTACCTCCACAACCTTTGTGAGCCAACAGGGCTTAGAAATAAAACCTATTCATGCTATTATAATCAAATTATAGTTTACTCAAAATATATTACTGTCACTAAACTACATTACAAGCAGACACACTGCTATGAACAGGATGCATTGACGGAATCATTCAAGGGCAGTATTAGCTTGACCGTGCCGTCTCTGACCCACTCTCTCGCTATCTCTCTCAGAACCGTCTTCATGACCCTGACCAGTTAGGCTTCAAGACGGGTCACTCAACCGAGACTGCTCTTCTCTGTGTCACGGAGGCTCTCCGCTCTGCCAAAGCTGACTCTCTCTCCTCTGTTCTCATCCTCCTAGACCTGCCTTCTACGCTGTGATCCTCCTCTCCACCCTCTCAGTGCTGGTCTGCCTTCTACGCTGTGATCCTCCTCTCCACCCTCTCAGTGCTGGGTGTCTCACGGCTCTCCACACTCTCAGGATTCCATCCTGCCTGGCAGGCCGCTCCTACCAGGTGACGTGGAGAGGATCTGTGTCTGCACCACGTACTCTCACTACTGGTGTCCCCCAGGGCTCGGTTCTAGGCCCTCTCCTCTTCTCTCTATACACCAAGTCACTCAGCTCCGTCATATCCTCACATGGTCTCTCCCATCATCGCTATGCGGATGGACACTCAACTACGTTTCTCCTTCCCCCCTTCTGACACCCAGGTGGCGACACGCACCTTTACGTCGCTGGCAGGTAACTATAAGCTTGTATGTCGGCCCACCCCCTCAAGCTCAATCTTGACAAGAAGGAGCTGCTCTTTCTCCTGGGGAAGGCCTGCCCGCTCAGACCTCTCCTTCATGGTTGACAACTCAATGGTCTCCCCCTCCCAGAGTGCAAAGAACCTTGGCTTGACCCTGGACAACATCCTGTCGTTCTCTGCAAACATCAAAGCAGTGACTCGCTCCTGCAGGGTCATGCTCTATAACCTCCGTAGAGTATAACCCTACCTCACACAGGAAGCAGTGCAGGTCCTAATCCAGGCACTTGTCGTCTCCCGTCTGGACTACTGCAACTCGCTGTTGGCTGGGCTCCACGCTTGTGCCATCAAACCCCTGCAACTTATCCAGAACGCTGCAGCCCAGTTTTCAACCTTCCCAAGTTCTCCCATGTCAAGCCTTTCCTCCGCACACTTCACTGGCTTCCAGTTGAAGCTCACATCCATTACAAGACCATGGTGCTTACCTATGGAGCAGCAAAAGGAAATGCCCCTCCTTACCTTCAGGCTATGTTCAAAACCCTACACCCCAACTCGAGCACTCCGTTCTGCCACCTCTGGCCTCTTGGCCCTCCCATCCCTACGGGAGGGCAGCTCCCACTCAGCACAGTCCAAGCCCTTCTCTGTCCTGGCACCCCAATGGTCGAACCAGCTTACAGTGCCTTGCAAAAGTATTCATCACCCTTGGCGTTTTTCCTATTCTGTTGCATTACAACCTGTAATTTAAATGGATTTTTATTTGGATTTCATGTAATGGACGAACACAAAATAGTCCAAATTGGTGATTAATAACTTGTTTCAAAAAATTCAAAAAAATAAATCACGGAAAAGTGGTGCGTGCATATGTATTCACCCCGTTTGCTATGAAGCTCCTAAATAAGATCTGGTGCAACCAATTACCTTCAGAAGTCACATAATTCGTTAAATAAAGTCCACCTGTGTGCAATCTAAGTGTCACATGATCCTGTCACATGATCTCAGTATATATACACCTGTTCTGAAAGGCCCCAGAGTCTGCAACACCACTAAGCAAGGGGCACCACCAAGCAAGCGGCACCATGAAGACCAAGGAGCTCTCCAAACAGGTCAGGGACAAAGTTGTGGAGAAGTACAGATCAGGGTTGGGTTATAAAAAAATATCAGAAAATTTGAACATCCCACGGAGCACCATTAAATCCATTATTAAAAAATGGAAAGAATATGGCACCACAACAAACCTGCAAAGAGAGGGCCGCCCACCAAAACTCACGGACCAGGCAAGGAGGGCATTAATCAGAGAGGCAACAAAGAGACCAAAGATAACCCTGAAGGATCTGCAAAGCTCCACAGCAGAGATTGGAGTATCTGTCCATAGGACCACTTTAAGACGTACACTCCACAGAGCTGGGCTTTACAGAAGAGTGGCCAGAAAAAAGCCATTGCTTAAAGAAAAAATAAGCAAACACATTTGGTGTTCGCCAAAAGCCATGTGGGAGACTCCCCAAACATATGGAAGAAGGTACTCTGCTCAGATGAGACTAAAATTGAGTTTTTTGGCCATCAAGGAAAACGCTATGTCTGGGGCAAACCCAACACCTCTCATCACCCCGAGAACACCATCCAGCATCATGCTGTGGGGATGTTTTTTTCATCGACAGGGACTGGGAAACTGGTCAGAATTGAAGGAATGATGGATGGCGCTAAATACAGGGAAATTCTTGAGGGAAACCTGTTTCAGTCTTCCAGAGATTTGAGACTGGGACGGAGGTTCACCTTCCAACAGGACAATGACCCTAAGCATACTGCTAAAGCAACACTCAAGTGGTTTAAGGGGAAACATTTAAATGTCTTGGAATGGCCTAGTCAAAGCCCAGACCTCAATCCAATTGATAATCTGTGGTATGACTTAAAGATTGCTGTACACCAGTGGAACCCATCCAACTTGAAGGAGCTGGAGCAGTATTGCCTTGAAGAATGGGCAAAAATCCCAGTGGCTAGATGTGCCAAGCTTATAGAGACATACCCCAAGAGACTTGCAGCTGTAATTGCTGCAAAAGGTGGCTCTACAAAGTATTGACTTTGGGGGGGGTTAATAGTTAATAGGGGTTAATAGTTATGCACGCTCAAGTTTTCTGTTTTTTTGTCTTATTTCTTGTTTGTTTCACAATAAAACATATTTTGCATCTTCAAAGTAGTAGGCATGTTGTGTAAATCAAATGATACAACCCCCCCCAAAAAATCAATTTTAATTCCAGGTTGTAAGGCAACAAAATAGGAAAAATGCCAAGGGGGGGTGAATACTTGTGCAAGCCACTGTACCTCTGAAGTTAGGACAGCAGAGTTCCTGCCCATCTTCCGAAAACATTTGAAAACCCTACCTCTTCAATAAGTATATTAAATAATTCCACAGCACCCACCCCTCACCTTTCTAGCTCTGACTTTGCTGATAGCTACTTCATTGAGGAAAAGTGTACTTACTATGACATGTGATTGTCTCACATTTACATTTTAGTCATTTAGCAGACGCTCTTATCCAGAGCGACTCACAGTTAGTGAGTGCATACATTTTTCATACTGGCCCCCCCGTGGGAAAACGAACCCACAACCCTGGCGTTGCAAACGCCATGCTCTACCAACTGAGCTACAGGGGACTTGTCACATAGCTATCTTAAGATGAATGAACTGACTGTAAGTCACTGTGGATAACGGCGTCTGCTAAATGACTAAAATGTCAATGTAGAATGTGAATTAGAATTAGAATGATTGTAGAAGACCCTCAACGTTCCAAACGGCACCGTATTCCGTTTATTGTAACCAAGGAAGTCTCCTCTCTCTCACCTTCTGAAGTCTGGCGGCCTTCTCGCTGTACCCCTCCACCTCTTTCCTCAGTCTCTCATTCTCCCTGAACAGGTCCATCTGGGCGTTACTGGGGCTGCTGTGGCTCATGTAGACCTCCGGACCGGAGCGGACACTGTGTCGAACCATCTCTGCCTGGGGCTGGGCAGGTACGTACCTGGGGAGAGGAGAGGGATTCATTAGCATCAAACGGTATCATTTAAGAATGGTGGTTGTAAACACATAGGGTCACTGGGATATAGGCTACATTCATCCCATATAGCAAACAGGGTGTCACTACTGGTCTGGCACCCATAATTGGTATATGTGTGTCATATTTACCTGTGCTGTGAGTGGAATGGGGGAGGAGGATCCTGGTAGCGGTGTCCGTGTGTCTCCTGTGAGTGGCTGAGCATGTATCCAGGAGCCCTGACCAGGAAGGGGTAGTCCGGGGGAGGTCCCCTCTGATCAGGGTACTGGAGAAACTCTGTCCCCTGGTGTTCAACAGGCCCAGAGTGGCCATTGGACAGCTGAGGGTAACTGTGAGAGGAGGTGAGGGGCTGAATGTCTCCACTTGATCTCTCCAGGGAGAGCCGCATGAGACGCTCACTGAGGCTCCGGGCGTGCTTCCGTTTCAGGTCCTCCTGGCCCTCTCCCCCTCCCTGGTGATCCATCACCTCCAGACCCAGACCAAGCTGAGGCTGACCCCACTGGGCCCCTACCGAGGCCAGGTACTGAGAGTGGGCCTTGGCCTCCTCATAGGTGGGCAGCTCCTCTCCGTGTCTGTGGAGCTGGTAGAGGCGACACACGGAGGAGTCACTCTCACAGTGGTTGTGGTCCCCCTTGTGCTCCTGGCCCTGGGGATCCTGTCTGGTGGACATGTGGAGGAACTGGGACTCCTCCTGGGTCAGGCTCTCCAGGGAGGAGCGGGGGGATCCGGTACCCCCTCCTCCTCCGCTGCTGTTGCTGCCTCCACGCAGGGCCTGCTGCTGGATGGACAGGAGGGTGCTGGTGTCTGTGAGGTTCCCGTAACGGAGCTGCTCCTGGATGAGACGGTGCAGGACCGTGCCAGAAGACTCCTCGGCAGTTCTCATCTCAGTCAATCAGAGAATAGATAAGTGAAGGGGTGTGTTGAAGAGTTTGTTTGCTTTGGATTCTTAGTAAACCATAGATCTAGAGACAGGAGCAATAAGATAATTAGTTAAATCAAGTAGCTAGCTAATACATTTGGTAGCACATAACTTAAAGCCTTATAATGCATTATGATGCCGTTATAATAAAGACTTGTTATAAGCATGTATTACCCCCTTTCCTATCTTATAATCATCTCATAATAACAATCATCAGACACTGCATCACATTTGGAATGTATCCTGAAGCCAACATAGCAGCAGTGTAATGTTGTAAATAGAGAGACATATTTCCCCCTCTGCTGTGGTACTTGCAGGCAGCACATACCAGCAGTGCCTTCCTTTCCAGTCTGTCCAGCATGTGTCATGCCTCACAGCCTATTCCCATAGTAACACCAGGTTAGTGCACAAATACCACCGCTGCAACATTCCCCTCTGGGCTTTTACTGTTCCAGTAAAAAGTATGAGCCAGGACTTTACTACATGATACTCAGTATAGATTCTATCTAAATTCAGTTCAGGGTAGTCTATTATAATTAAGTAGAATTTACTTCAGCGTGTAAATGCAAACATACCACACACTGTGAACTATAGCATATGCCATATTACTAGCAGGTTAAGCCATATTACTAGCAGGTTAAGCCATATTACTAGCAGGTTAAGCCATATTACTAGCAGGTTAAGCCATATTACTAGCAGGTTAAGCCATATTACTAGGCATTATGTTGTAAAGGCCAAAACACGGAAGTATTGAAGAAAAAAGGAAATGTTTATTTTAGTTATTGGATATCATTATATTGAGTCAGTCATTTCCTGCTGCCAGCTATACAGATTCCAATCAGATTCCGTTCAGATTCCAATCAGATTCCGTTTAGATTCCAATCAGATTCCGTTCAGATTCCAATCAGATTCCGTTTAGATTCCAATCAGATTCCGTTCAGATTCCAATCAGATTCCGTTCAGATTTCAATCAGATTCCATTGCCTGATTTTGCCCTTTTTTTTTGTTCATTTGGCCTTTCCAGCACGTGCACATACTATGACAGATATCAGATGTAGGCCACACATTCATTGAGGCTTTGTTGAAAGAAAAATGTATGTTTACTCTACAATCTAAACAGTGTGAATAATGTAGTCCTACTGTATACATTGGCCTAAATACTACACATTTCCATTTTAGTCATTTAGCAGACGCTCTTATCCAGAGCGATTCACAGGAGCAATTAGGGTTAAGTGTCTTGCTCAACACACATAGCCAGGATAGAACATGGGCTATATCTTCACATATCTGATAACATTCCAGTCTAAACTAGGAAAATAAAACATATAGCCCAATAAAACAATTTATACTCAGTGTCAATAAAGTGCAAATAAAGTATCTATTGTCTACAGCGGCTAGACAGACTTGATCACAGACCAAAGCCGACATCCCAACATAAAAAAAATATATATATATAAAATATATATAATGAGAAATTAAAAGACAATGATTATAACATTATTATAAAAAACAAAAAAACGTGATAGACTGTAAAAAACTAAAGAGAAGGGTAGTTGAAGTTAATATTTTGAAAGACCTATCCACCATGTGTAAAGCAACTCATTCCAAAAAGGAGCTAAACTAAATTCTTACCAATTTACATTCTCATCACGGAAGCAAGTTGTTCACGGCGTATATCGTTTAATATTTCTTGTTGACGAAAAAATGATCCTAATAAAACTGAGTGGAAATGGAAAGTATGTAGTCGTATCCGGAGTATGTGTTCCTCTGAGAGAGAGAGAGAGAGAGAGAGCGCTGCTACCGTGTGCGTCTGAGCAGATCTCACAACAGACTGAGCCGGGAGAGAGAGAGCGCGCTGCTAATAAATAACTGAGGGCCGATTGTTCGCTGAGACTGGAATGATCGGAATGGGAGAACTCAAAGTCCCCCAGGGATGAAAAGCGGAACCGCAGAGCGAACGCAAAGCGCACAGAGGGAGAAGGGGGGGGGCAGGGCAAGTAGGTAGAATCGGAACAGCAGAGCGGGGCGGGGCGGAGCGGCCCTGTGCACATTGCAGAGAGACAGATGGTAGTCGCCTGCCTGTGTAATGTAAAGCGTGTTGTTGTTGTTAGCAGTTGGGGAGATGGAGTAATTAGCTGTAGCATGTTGTGACTAGAAAGAGATTGGGGCACTATTGTGAAGCAGAGACTTAATGTTTTCCATAAAATGCTTTTGTTTAGCCTACATAACATTCTAAACTCCCCATAGAGTATAACACACACAAACATTATATAAATTCTATCAAGAAATAGTCTATAAAAAATATTGTATCATGATTTGACCCATTGTTTTCCTTTAGGATTTCACCATCAATAGCTGTGCCTTGTGGCAAATATATATATAGTTAAGTCTGAGCAATCCCTATAGCACTTTGTGACAACTGCTGAGGTAAGAAGGGCTTTATAAAATGCAACACCATGTATGGTAATTGGATGCTTGATCAAATACAGTCCTTACTACCCAACCTGCAATTCAGACAAAAGTTGCTGCAATAAGTCCAAACATAGCATTAATTAGTAGCATATACTAGACAGGGTATCTGGAGACAAGCAGCATCCGTCATTAAAGTGAAGCGTCGTTGATCATTATTTTCTTTAAAGGTCTTTTGTTTGCATGTGCCTGGTAAATATTTAAGCCGAGGCCCGTGCCGGGTAATTGCAGAGTGTGCGTCTGTGTGGACATGGAGAGGTGGCGGGTGATGTGACTGTGTGTGTGTGTGTGTGTGTGACTGTGTGTGTGTGTGTGTATGTGTGTGACTGTGTGTGTGTATGTGTGTGACTGTGTGTGTGTGTGAGGGGGGGGGGGGGGGGGGGGGGGGGGTGCTGGTCGGGTGTATGAGCCCTGCTACCTGCCATCTGTCTGGGGGTCCCCTGTCCCCTGCCTAATCAGGGTTAGCTCTGAGAGAAGAGATGCATTGTTCTCCTCACAGCAGACATGACCAGGAGGAGAGGAGAGGAGGGGAGGAGAAGAGGAGGTGACAGCCCTGCCATCTGCCCCTCCACCACCATCATCATAAATGGCACCCTATTCCCTATTTAGTGCACTACGTTTGACAATGGCTCATAGGGAATAGGGTGCCATTTGGGCACGCAGGCCAGGACTAACCAACAACAACCCCCTGGTCCTGGCTGGCCTGCATTCTTCACACACATGCTGCATAGGGGGATGCTGCCTAGGTCCTAGGATCAGCTGGCCTGGCTGAGAGAGGGGGATGCAGCCTAGGCTCTAGGATCAGCTGGCCTGGCTGAGAGAGGGGGATGCAGCCTAGGCCCTAGGATCAGCTGGCCTGGCTGAGAGAGGGGGATGCTGCCTAGGCCCTAGGATCAGCTGGCCTGGCTGAGAGAGGGGGATGCAGCCTAGGCCCTAGGATCAGCTGGCCTGGCTGAGAGAGGGGGGATGCTGCCTAGGCCCTAGGATCAGCTGGCCTGGCTGAGAGAGGGGGATGCAGCCTAGGCCCTAGGATCAGCTGGCCTGGCTGAGAGAGGGGGATGCTGCCTAGGTCCTAGGATCAGCTGGCCTGGCTGAGAGAGGGGGATGCTGCCTAGGCCCTAGGATCAGCTGGCCTGGCTGAGAGAGGGGGATGCTGCCTAGGCCCTAGGATCAGCTGGCCTGGCTGAGAGAGGGGGATGCAGCCTAGGCCCTAGGATCAGCTGGCCTGGCTGAGAGAGGGGGATGCTGCCTAGGTCCTAGGATCAGCTGGCCTGGCTGAGAGAGGGAGATGCTGCCTAGGTCCTAGGATCAGCTGGCCTGGCTGAGAGAGGGGGATGCTGCCTAGGTCCTAGGATCAGCTGGCCTGGCTGAGAGAGGGGGATGCTGCCTAGGCCCTAGGATCAGCTGGCCTGGCTGAGAGAGGGGGATGCAGCCTAGGCCCTAGGATCAGCTGGCCTGGCTGAGAGAGGGGGATGCTGCCTAGGTCCTAGGATCAGCTGGCCTGGCTGAGAGAGGGGGATGCAGCCTAGGCCCTAGGATCAGCTGGCCTGGCTGAGAGAGGGGGATGCAGCCTAGGTCCTAGGATCAGCTGGCCTGGCTGAGAGAGGGGGATGCTGCCTAGGTCCTATGATCAGCTGGCCTGGCTGAGAGAGGGGGATGCTGCCTAGGCCCTAGGATCAGCTGGCCTGGCTGAGAGAGGGGGATGCTGCCTAGGCCCTAGGATCAGCTGGCCTGGCTGAGAGAGGGGGATGCTGCCTAGGTCCTAGGATCAGCTGGCCTGGCTGAGAGAGGGGGATGCAGCCTAGGCCCTAGGATCAGCTGGCCTGGCTGAGAGAGGGGGATGCTGCCTAGGCCCTAGGATCAGCTGGCCTGGCTGAGAGAGGGGGATGCTAATGGCTGATAAAGGGAGGGACTTGTGCCTCAAGAATGTATAGAGACACCTGGACACATCTGATTTTCAGTTATAGACTACGTGCTTTTAGCCAGGATTTCTCTTTAGAGTGATTGTGTTTATAACAAGCCTCAACTTGCTGACTCTGTAAAGATGACATAGATCCTTATCTTGTCTGAAACACCCACACATCACAATCTCCTAGTGAAATGACATCCTGGTTCATTTGCATGGCAGTTGAGGGCCAGCTGTTGCGACGTACATTCTCTCAGCCTGTTTAAAATAAAATCAAATGTTATTGGTCGTGCACACATATTTTAGAGATGTTATCGCAGGTGCAGCGAAATGCTTGTGTTTCTAGCTCCAACAGTGTAGCAATACCTAGCTAACAATACAAAACAATACACACTAATCTGTAACTGTTAACATAATATCCTGCCACATTCTCAGTAACCTAAACCTACACCCTTTTTCCATGGAGCTTGAATACTGCGAATTTAGATGACATTAATAAATGTTAAACATTTAATTTAATTTAATAAATAAAATGAAAAACTATACACTGTAACAGAAAACTGTCATTTATATGGTAATTTGAGGTGTT